GACTTCTCCTTCCAGGAGAGGCGGCTATGGTGCGGTATCCTTCCAGAGATATTCTGTGAGTTCTGTGAATTCACTGTGATAGTCAGTGAATTTTCAAGATATATATACATCAGTTAGGCTGCGTAAACAGAAAGGCAACTCTCCTGGCTTAGCCAAGTAGGAACTTCTGTTTTTCATTAATGAGAAGTCTGGAGGCAGGCAGGCAGGCAGGGTGGGGTAGCATTGTCACGATGTCATCAATGTCCTGGCTACCTTCCGTCTTTCCACTCTGTCAAACTTAACATGTGGCTTTTGCTTTCTTGCTTAGAGTCTCATAGCCACAAGTTGACTGCTCCACACTCACATCTGTATTTCAGAAATCAAGAAGAAGGAGGAAGGAAGAGAGAGAGTGATGGCTGTATGAAAGCGAAAACCTCAGAGGCCTCCTGCTGTCTTCCATTTATATCTGATTGGCCACAGTGGTGTCACACGGCCATTTGGAGGGAGCCCGGGAAGGGAAACCTTTTATCTGGGGCCACTGTGACTTCCCACAAAACGTCTCTTAGGAAAGAAAGGCAGCAAATAATTGCATCAATCAATCCTGCTTTTATTCTTTCATTTAACTGTGCAGTTCAACATGCTTTTCCTCTTCACAGTACAGGTTTTCAATGTCAGTTAGATGTGTTTATTTTTATTCATTTAACAAATAAGAACGTGCTGCTTCCTTAGGTGGCAGAGACTAATTGCCTTCCAATATCCGTTTCTACTGTCTTTAGAATTACTGATATTTGGATGGATACAAAGCCACCCAGAAATTGGGGCCAGCCCTGTGACCGAGTGGTTAAGTTCACATGCTCCGCTTCAGTGGCCCAGGGTTTCGCCAGTTCGGATTCTGGGCGTGGACATGGCACCACTTGTCAGGCCATGTTGAGGCGGCATCCCACATGCCACAACTAGAAGGACCCACAACTAAAATATACAACTATGTATTGGGGGCATTTGGGGAGAAAAAGCAAAAAAAAAAAAAAAAAGAAGAAGATTGGCAACAGATGTTGGCTCAGGTGCCAATCTTTAAAAAAAAAAAAAACAGCCACCCAGAATAAAACTAAATTTCTAAGCATCCTTTCAGCAAGGTGTGGCCATAAGACTAAGTGCTGGCCTATGGGATGAGAGCCAAAGTTATATATGCAACTTCCGGGTCCCGCCTCTGAAGAGGACACATGGGCCTTCCTCTTCCTCTTCTTTCCTTCCTGCTGGCTGCACTGTGGACTTTCTCTTGCTCTCTCGTACAGATGAGATGCACATGTAACAGAAGCCAAACTGACCTCCTAACTGTTACCTCTGTGAATGTGCCAGACACTGCTCTAGGGACCCAGGACACAAACAATGATAAAATTAACTTCTTGCCTTTGAAGAGCTCAAAATCTCCTGGGGAAGACCAATGGGTAGACGAATACCTTTGAAGTCATATGGTCAGTGCTGCGGTCAGTGCTGTGGGAGGCCCAAGGACCTTGGAGCCCAGCAGATTCAATCACCTACCATTCCCCCATCTGTCCATTTGTGCAGCTCTCTAGACAGCCACACGTTTATTCGTTTGCCCACTCACCCATGGACTGATTCATCTATCATCCACCCGTTCGTTCTCCCATCTGCCATCCGTCTCTCCCACGTATCTCAGCAGGACCCTGCAGCGATTTTTTACGGAGAGTTATGCAGGACTGTTCTGACGTATTTTTCTTAGTATCAAGCCAATCAGAATGGCACCTTTTATCAAATTTTAACTGATGCCAGGTACCAAGATCATCATACACATGCAATGTAATGATGAAATTTCATATTCAAATCACATAATAAATGCTTATTTGGGCACATTTTTAGATTTTCCTAGATAACAAAAATTATATATTCACTAGTCTTTTTCAAGCAGTTCCTTCCACTTGTCCTGAGTCAGACATGACACCATCCCACATCACAGTCAACCCTGGGGAAACGCAGCAAGGCAGGCAGGATGAATTCGGTGTGTGCTGTAACCAACTTGATGCTATAAAACTAAGGGCCGCCCCTAGATGTGTACTCCCCTTATTCTCAAGGGCTGGGGTGAGGTGGGGTGACCAGAGGAGGCCCACAGGCTTCATTCCCCTCCAGCCAATGCGACTCCCTCCCTCCCTCTCTTTTCTCACTTACTTTCAACAACGCTTTCATCTTAACAATAAAGAGAAAACCAAGGATTCAGATTATGGTAAGAACATAGTCAAGGTATGAATTTTCTGTTACATTTAATGAGGAAACCTAGCTGTTGTGTTAAGAAATTAGTTCACATATTGACCCCCATTAACATACATTGAACGTTATTTATCAAAAATGCTGTGCACAACTAGTAGGACCCACAACTAAAATATACAACTATGTACGGGGGGGATTTGGAGAGAAAAAGCAGGAAAAAAATGCTGTGAATTTATTTGGCTTAAAACTTTACCTATCAAACCTCAAATAAATCAGACTTAAGCAGTTAGGTCTAATATTAAATTCAGCCCTGTTCTTGGCACTGAGAGGTACAAAGACTCAGGTCCCTTCTTCCCCTGTCCTGAGACAGGAAATTTCCTCTCTGCTCAGGCAGATGAGAGACACGACCGCAAAGTCAAATCGCAGAATGGGACGATATGACAAGAGATGTCACCAAGGGGATATGATAAGCCAAATGTTGAGTAAATGGTACAACTAAGAAATGCATTCTCCTCCTACGGGGTCGTAGTCACAATGGTTGGAATGGCCAGGGAAGCTGCTCTTCCCTCCTCTTCCTTTCCTTCCTCCCAGTTCCAGGCAGTGGGGGACGCAGTGAGGACGAGCACAGAGAGAAATCGCTATCCTCATGGAACTTCCCTTCTGGGGGGCAAGACAGACGATAAACAAAATAAATAAAAATAACAAGAGTTTAGGACAGTGATATGTGCTGTGGAAAGAATAAATCTGGGAAAAGGAATCAGGACTACCGTCAGGGTGTAAGTTAAATTTAGAGGTCAGGCAAGGCCCCACAAAGAAGGTGACCTGAGTAAAAACTGAAGGAGGTGAGGGAGGAAGCCATGCAGGTATCGAGAGGAAGAGCGTTCCAGGCAGAGGGAACATACGTGGAAAGCAGTTATTCAGTGCCTACTGTGTGCCCACATGACGCCAACAGCAATATGTGGCTATTTGCCAAGCCATCTTGGACAAACATTTACTGCCTACTACAAAGAACAAGAGTGTGCTTTCTTTCCCAGAAGGTGGCAGGTGGAGGGGATGTGGGGGATGGGTGCACAGAAGCAACAGCAACATTTGCATTTTTAAAAGAAGGCTGCCCCCAACTCTGGTGGGGGAGTGATGGGAGCCCAACAATGACTCTCTGGTCAGCCTGATGGAGGGATTGTAAAGGGGAGGGACATAAGGACACAGGGACAGGGCGATTCTGCTGCAGAGCACTCCTTCATCAGACCTTAGGGCGACTGACCTGCCCCCTGCCCTCAGCTGAGAGTCTGGCAGGACATGCTCCCCCGGCTCCAGGCAGCTGGGCTCCTGGAAGCAGAACACCCAGGAGAGAGGAGCAGCTCCGCGGCTGGTGTTGGCCATCAGCCGGGACTCACTACACTCTGCAGAGCTCCTCAGATTACCAGGCAGGGCTGCCTGTGACAACATTTGGAGGAGGACTGTCCTTCCAGGCACGCCTCTGTAGTCAGACTCTGGAGGGCTCTTCCTCCCTATAAAATCCGACAGGAGGCGACAGCTAAGCCACTGTGGGCTCTGGCTTCAGGATGAATGAGTCCCTCCTCCTAGAATCAAATGATGCGCCAGTGCCTCGATTCTTTCATCCATAAAATGGGGAGAATAATAGTAGCACTTATCTCATAGGGTGTTGTGAGAATCACAGCCCTCAACTGGTGGTAACTGTCACTACTTAGTATCAATTATTATTAATACTTCCTCAGAATTGTACAAATTGCAGTATGTCCAAATAAACAGATTTTAAAGGCCTCCTGAGGCTGGCAGGGGGGAGGCAGTATCTGTCGAGGTTGAGTAGAGGCTCTGGGTCTGACTGCCTGGGTTTGCCCCGAGGATGGCCACTTAGGAGCTGTGTGCCCTTGGGCCACTTACTTAACCTCCCTGAGCTTCTGCTTCTTCATCTTTAAAGTGAAAATGGTATGTAGTGCACATTTCACTACCTGGCAGGAGGCTGGGCCAGGCTTTTTACAGCCCGAGCATCTGTGCTGTCCAAAGGGCCTGGGCAGTGAGACAGTATTATTCTACTACTGGGATAATTACGTGATTGTATTAACAGCAACTACCTCAAAGGGGTGTTACGAGGGATGAGCACTTGTAGCGCACTCCACAACAGCGCCTGGCAATAACTATGCGCCATTATTATTAACCCCATTTTGTAGATGAGGAAATTGAGGCCCAGAGAGCTTAACAGACCCGACCCCAGGGGCATGCAGCTGGCCGGGGGCAGGGCTGGCACTGGAATCCAGGGGTTCCGTCCAGTGCCCGGCGGCGGCCCAGCCTGGGAACTAGACAACCCCCCCCCCCATTCTCTCCCTGGGAACGGAAAGCTGGCCGCCCTCCAAGTCCCAGGGGCCCCGAGCCCTGCCCCCGCTCCACTCCACCCTCCCCATCCCCAGAACAAAGTACACCGCGCTGCGGGAACATTCCAGCCCGCTGAAGGCAAGACGGGCGCGGCGGCCTCGCCCCCAGGGCTGCGCAGGTCCGCGCCCCGGGCCGGCCTCTCGGGGCCCCCTCCCGGCCGCTTCCGGCCCCGCAGCAGCCGGGTGTGCAGACGCAACTGCACCGCAGGAGCTCTCTTTGCTCTTGCTAACTCGGGGACCAGCACCGACGAGGCCGCGGCCGCGGGGGGCGGGGCGGACAGAGAGGCCCGCAGGCGGGGCGGGGCGGACGGAGAGGCCGGGGCCCCGCGCGGCGGGGTGGCTGGAGAGGCCGGCGGGCGGGGCGGAGAGGCCGCGGCCCGCGGGGGGCGGGGCGGGCGGAGAGGCAGCTGCCTGCTCGGGCCGTCGGCCAGCTGGGGCAGACCCCGCTGCCCACTTTATTCCTTTATTGGAAACTAATGCGTGCTTTTGTTAAGAAAATAAGCTTAGGTAAAACTAGGTGAAAGATGGCCATTAATCCTACTACACTGAGATAACTGCTATTAATTTTGGTTGTCCTTTCAGACTTTTCTATGCACAGAAACAAACATGTATAGTGACAGGAAAGGGGTCCTGCTATTATACTGTTTGTTTTTAAGTTAATAGACTTTAGTTTTTAGGTCGGCTTTAGCTTTACAGAAAATCGAGGAGATAGTGCAGAGTTCCTGTATACCCCTGTCCCCACCCTCTTTGTTCTCCCTATTAGCATTTTGAGTAAGTGTGGTACATTTGTTATAATTAATGAACCAATATTGATACATTATTATTAACTAAAGTCCATAGTTCAATCAAGGTTCACTCTGTGCCGTAAAGTTCAAAGTTTTGATAAGCGGAGGACCTCACGCGTCCACCGTGACAGTAGCACACAGAACAGTTTCCCTACCCTGCACTCCTGTGCTCCATGTGTTCATCCTGCCCCCTCCGCCCCAGTGCAACCACTGATGTCTTTACTGTCTCTCTAGTTTTGCCTTTTCCAGAATGTTGTATGGTTGCGGGTCATACAGTATGAGCATTTTTAGCCTGGCTTCTTTCACTAAACAATATCCTTTTAAGGTTCCTCCTTTTACGGTCCCTCCATGTTTTCTCATGGATTAAAAGCTCATTTCTTTTTATCGCTGAATAATATTCTATCGAATGAACCTACCACAGTTTATCCATTCACCTTTGGAAGGATGTCTTGGTTACCTCCAGTTTTTGTCAGTTAGGAACAAGCTGCTATAAACATTCATGTACGGGTTTATTATACTGTTTTCTAGCTTTTTTTTTTTTTTTTTTTTTTGGCAGGGAAAGATTCACCAATCTTTCTCTTTTTTGTTTTTTTCTCCCCAAAGCCACAGTGCATGGTTGTATATCCTAGCTGTAAGTCCTTCTAGTACTTCTGTGTGAGCTCCCACCACAGCATGGCTACTGTCAGACCCTCAGGAACCGAACTGGGAGGCAGAAGTGGTGAGAGCACCCCACCTCAACCACTACGCCGTCAGGGCTGGCTCTAGCTCACTTTTTTCAATTATGTTATGAATGGTTTTCTGTGTTATAAATATAGATCTTTATCATCTTTTTAATGGCTACATAAGATTCTATCACAGTTTATTTAACCAGCCCCTTCTGTTAACATATTGATTGTTGTCTCTGATTCTAACGTCACAAACCTGCCGCTACTAGTTGGTCAACGCTTGATGGTATCTTGTAGTTAACGCCTGGCTGCCTGAATCCTGTGTTTAATTCCCAGCCACCTCACTTACTTACTGGGTAACCCTGGGCAAAGGTTTTAATTCCCTATGACTTGGTTCCTCATCTGTGAAATGGAAATAATAATTATACTTAATATGAGGATTAAATGAGCTGATGCATGTAAAGTGTTTAGAACAGTTTAGAACCTGGCACATATAAACCTAAAATAAAATTTCCTCTTATAATTTATTATCCATTGAGCACCTCCTGTGTGTCCTGAGCCAGGCAGGCATTGTGGAAGTTATCAGAGACTAAGTCATACGTGTAATTGTCCCCTTGAGGAGCTGGGTTCAGCTCCCGCTGGGGGGTGGGGCGGGTAACACAAAACACAGTAGCACTACCCTTCTGTGTGGTTTTCTCTGGGCCAGGCACGGGGCACCATTCTGGAGCCTGGGAGTGGCAGGGCTGGAATTTGAACAGAGGTCTGGTTCTAACCTCTTCACTACCCTGCCTCTTGGTACACGAATTTCCCATATAATACGAAACAAGATGGGTCCTAATGAAGTGGAGATGAAGAAGTGTGAGCATTCAGGGGACTCAGTGATGGCTTCCAGCTGGGCATACCAGGGAAGGCTTTAGTTAAAATCCATTCACTGAACACGGAAAGATATCTACACCAGGCACAGCCCTAAACACTAGATGAATAAAGAGGCAGATAAAACCATGGGCAGCATATAATCTGGTGGGAGATAAGGGAAACAAAGTCAAGAAGCAAATGTCAGGTGACAGCTTGTAACATGAGCTACAAAGGAAATCCAGGCTGCCATGGGATACCAGAGCGGGTAGTGGGGGCTGCCACCTTAAAATGGTCAGGGAGGCGCCTTGGACAAGGCGACTTTGAAACACTGAGGACTGTGGGACGAGGGACCAGCCATTCGAGGAGTTGTGTAGAATATTCTAGCAGCAAGAACGAACAAAGGCCCGGAGGTAGAAGGGGGTTTTTGGTGAGTTCTACATGCTGTCAGAAGCCAGTGTGGGAGGAGCTCGGGGAGCAAGGGGAAAATGACTAAAGCTGAAGTTGCAGAGTACACACACACTAGTTTCTAAGAACTTTCCGACTTAACTGAAAGTGGCTGGGCAGCCTAGGAGGCAAGAACAAGAATGTCCATTTCGTGTGCACCTATTACAGCCCAGGCTTCATACGGTTCACACAGTATTGTATTTGACCTTTCCAATGACTTACTTTACAGATGTGGAAACTGAGGCTTGAGTTTTACTCCAAGTGAAAAGGGAAGCCATTGAAGGGTTTTAAGCAAGGAAGTAGCGACGCTGGGTTGATATTGTCACAAGATCCAGCTGGCAGCTCTGTGGGGCATGGAGCGGAGGTTTGCATAGGGGGATCTGGGGGACCGGTTAAGAGACTGCTGCGCTCAGCTAGGTAAGAGAGAGAATGGAGATCTGACTAGAATGATGGCGGTGGATGGAGAGAGAGTTGGATCGACTTGAGACTGAGAGGCCATGTTGATGGATTGGATTAGTAAGGAGAGGAAGGAAGCTGATACATGCTATTTTAAATGCCTCAAACTGTTCAGGAAAGTATAAACAAGAAACCATTTAAAATCCTCTGAAACCCAACTTCCCAGAGATAACGACTGTTAATTTTTATTGGAACGTCCTTCCAGACGTCTTTCTGTGTCCAAATAGAATAAATAAATGGGCTCCTTCAGTTGTAAAATACAAAGACCCGCTCAAGCTAACTTACGTAATGTGGATTTTGTTATGAGGAATCAGGGGTTATCTCCTAGAATTGCAAGCCAGTCAGCTTTCACGGAGACCTGGAAGCAGGGCAGGAAGCCAAGAACTCAGGTAACCCTCTCTTCTCTCCAAGGCTCATCGTCACTTCTCTCTGTGTCCCTCTGCCTGCCTGCTCTGGTCTTCTCTCTCTTTTGGCTGACTGATCATGGTGTGCATTCACCTCCCCCATGGCTGCCCTCCCTGGCTTTGTATCACTGTCCAATTCAAGTATCTGACAAGGATGAGCTGACGTCACTTGGCCACAGATTGCATTTTCTGGGAGAGGAAATGGGATCTGGTGCCATAATGATGAGATGGTCCATCTTTTATAACATGGAGAAAGGCCATGGGCACGGATGCAGGTTGGCTGCTGCATTTGGTGATGGGAAGATGAGGTAGTTCTCCTGATTGCTTCTTTTATCTCAAGGAAATGAGTGAGGTTGGCAGCTGAGAAGCTGAGAGTGGAGTGCGGATGGGGATGGAAGGTTTCCTAAAAGATGAGAAGATATGAAATTATCTCTGAAAGTGGGGATGTGAATTTATGAGGATTAGTGCAAATGGCCCACTTGAGTTTTGTGGTCATAAATTGAAAGAGAGATTAGTAGGCACAATTGTGTTTTCCTCTAGCTACATCTAGCTGCTCAGGTGGGGGTGTGAGGTGCAGGAAATTGGCTTTTTCCATTTTTCAGACAATATGATGAGAAAGAGAGGAACAAGGAGTGGTTATAGTGATGGACTGTGGAATCTAGAGGGATAATGAAGAAAGTGAGGAGATGAGTAAAGTGATGGGCAGTGAAAACATTGGGGAGTCTCTCTGGGGTTGAAGAATTGAGTCAAGATGTAAGAGTAAGAGAGCTGGAAAGATTAGAAGGGATGGCCAAAGAGTGGATGCTGGAAACTGACTTTAAAGGCAGTGACTGTCGTTGATGACAGTCTAGGGCATAACCACGGCAGTGGGAGGATGAGGTTGTGTGGAGGACAAGGTAGTTGGAGGTGAAGAAATCAGGAACCAGCTTCTACCCTGGCCCCCAGGGATTCTCGCCGGGTGGTGCTCACACCTCTTGGGCAGTCCCTCCCACGTTCAATAGGGCGGACCTTTGTAACTAATGACTGTGTGTGACTTCCAAGGCTAGGTTATAAAAAACACTGTGGCTTCTGCCTTGCTCTCTCTTGGGGGAAGCCAGCCACCACATCCTAAGGACACTCAAGGGGCCCATATGGTGAGGACCAACCAGCAGTAACTTGCCAGGCCGGTTTGTGAGCCACCTTGGAAGCCAGACCTCCTGCCACAGTCAGGCCTTGAGATGACTGCAGCCGCCCCAGCAGACGAAATGCGGCATCACAGAGACTCAGAGCCAGAACGACTGTTCTAGGGTGCTCCTGAGTTCCTGACCCATAGAGGCAATGTCAGAGAATAAACGCTTCTCGTTTTAAGTTTGGGGATAATTTGTTACACAACAATAGATAAGTAATACAGAACCTGAAAAGCTAGGATGTTGTGTAGGTCTTTGATGGATGTTGGCTGAAGTCACAAAAAATGGCAAGGTACTGGGCCTGGCCCGGTGGCTAAGTGGTTAGTTCCACGTGCTCTGCTTTGGCAGCCTGGCTTCACGGGTTTGGATCCCCGGTGCAGACCTACTCCATTCACCAGCTATACTGTAGAGGTGTGCCACATACAAAAAAGGAGGGGGATTGGCACAATATTAGCTCAGGGCAAATCCTCCTCAGCAAACAAACAAACAAACAAAAAACCAAGGTACTAATCGTAGAGAGTGAAGCTGAGAGCCAGGCTTTAAACTCTTCAGGGAGTGAGGCACAGCAGCCAGGAGGCTGGCAGAACCTCCAACAAGAAGAATAGCGGCTGGTATAGCCTAAAGACACAAAGTTGAAGGGAAGAGAGGTTTTGTAGAGAAAAGGAAGGATAATTAGTCTAAAAAAGGCAAAGAAGAGAAGGAGGACCCCTCCCCCACCTCTAGGTCTGTGATACCCGGAGGCTAAGAGGAAAACCAGCTGCCACATGAGAGGACTGCAAGAAAAGCAATGTCCCCAAGCAGAACCAGATTTCGGTGAGAGCAAGGAGGAGAAATGAATGTTGGGAGTGTTGAGTGTCTAGGGCGTATTACCGAGGGTGCACTGTGACTTCCAGGGTCACGGTGGGAGAATGGGGGAAGTAGGAAGAGTAGGAAATTGGATTAGATTAAGGGATGTGCGTAAGAGCCTGGGTGAGGGTAGATGACCATCAATGGATGTTGAATTTTATTACTTTTTTAATTGCAAACCTATCATATGATTATATGAATCTTCTCCTTTATTCTGTTTATATTGTAAGTGTTAATGATTAATTTCAAATTTATACCAACCCTGCATTCTTGCAATAGCACAAACTTTCAGGATGTATTATCTTTTGTGGATATAGTTGAATTCACTTTGCTGTTAAAATTTTGCTTAGGATATTTTGCGTCTGTGTTCATTAATGAGATTGACTTATACTTTTCCTTGCTTTTAATATCCTTGTTAGGTTTTAGTAACAAGGTTATGCTGGCCTCATAATTTGAAATTGGATATGTTTCTTCTTTTCTAGTGTCTGGAAAAGTCTGTGTAATCACGATATTTTTCTTCCTTAAATGTTTATTAGAATTTGCCAGTGAAGCCATTTGGGACTGGAGTTTTCTTTGTTGGAAGTTTTAAATTGTAAATTCAATTTCTTTAATAGATATAATACTATTCAGATTTTCTATTCCTTCTTTTGTTGGTTTTTGGAAGTTGTAGTTTTCTAGGAACTTTGTCAACTCAAATTTTCAATTTATTGGAAGACATCAGGATGTTCATAATCTTATCTTTATAATGTCTATAGGATCTGGAGCAATGTACTTTTTTCAATCCTGATATTGATAATTCACGCCTTCTCTCATTTCTTCATCAATTTTCCTAGGGGCTTTTATATTTTATTAATGTTCTCACAGAACAGTCTTTGACTTAGATCATCCTTTGTATCGTAAGTTTGTTTTTTGTTGCCTTCATTTCTGCTGTTATCTTTATGGATTCCTTTATACTTTTTAAAGTTTAATTTGTTAAAACATAGAGTTACCATGTTACCCAGGATGTCACTTCTAAATATACCTAAGAGAAATAGAAACATATGCCCACACAAAAACTTGTGCGTGAACATTCACAGCAGCATTGTTCATAATAGCCAACAAGTGGAAACAACCCAAGTGCCACCAACCGATAAGTAGAAAAACAGAATATGGTATATCCATACTCTGTTAGTCGACTGGGGCTCCCATAACGGGATACTGCAGACTGGGTGGCTTAAACATCGGAGATTTATTGTCTCACAATTCTGGAGGCTGGAAGTCCAAGATCAGGGTTTGGCAGGTTGGATTTCTCCTGAGACCTCTCACCTTGGCTTGCAGACAGACCCTTTCTCGCTGTGTCCCCACATGGCCATCTCTGTTCATGTGCATCTCTGGTGTCTCATCCTCTTCTTATAAGGACACCAGTTCTGTTGGATTAGGGCCCCACCCTCAGGACCTCGTTTACCCTTATCTGTCTCTTTAAGGGCCCCGTCTTCAAATACAGTCTCATTGGGTTTAGCTTCAGCATGTGAATGGCGCAGGGTGTGGGGGACACAATTCCGTCCATAACAATATGATTGCTGTATGGAAATTCTTTGTGTGAATATACCATGTTTTACTTATCTGTACTACTGTTGATGGACACTGGGCTAGTTTCGAATTTGAGGTTATTGTGAATAGTATTTCTATGAACATGCTATGTCTTTTGGGTGAACATTAAACATTTCTGTTGGATATATGCCTAAGAATTCCTGGGTCCATTAAATATCCTTATTTTTGGCTTTGAAATGAACAGACAATTTTCCCATAGATCAGTTTACACTCCTACCAGCAGTTCCTGAGAGTTCTGTGTATTGTACATCTTTGTCAACACTTGGTATTATCTGACTCTTTTTTTTTTTTTCATTTTTTAAGTCAATTCTGGAGGTAGTCTGGGATGTCTTGTGATTTTAATTTGTATTTCCTTCATGAATAATGAAGTTGAGTCCTTTTCTGTGTTTATTGGCCATGGGGATATAATTTATTGTGAAGTACTTGTTAATTTTCTGTCATTGTTATTGATTTATAAAGGTTTTAAGTATATTCTGGCCACGTGAACACATTCTCTGTTATTGAAAATATCTTCTTACACACTGTGGTTTGCCATCTTACTCTTTTTCAACTAGCAAAGACTTTTATTCTTAATATAGTCCAATTTATCATTTTTGTCCCCATATAGTTAGCCAATTATTTTGGTCCTGTTTTAAAAATCTTTGCATACTACAAAGTTGTGAAGATGTTCTCTTATGTTTCCTCCTAAAAGCTCTTTTGTTTTTCCATTCATATTTAGACCTGCAGGGGAATTATTTTTCATGTGTGATGTCACATGGGGACCAAAATTCTTTCTTCCATATGGACATCCAGTTAGCGCAGCACCATATAGTCAAAGATCTTCCTTGCCCCAATGTACTGCAGTGTTAACTTTGCTGGAAATCAGGTGACCAAGTAAGTGTAAATCTGATTCTATCTATTGGTTTATTTGTCTATGTTCAGATTGATATATTTTATCATTCTATTTCCACCTTTGAATTAGCTTGAAAATTATGTACTCTTTTATTATTCTGTTAGTGGTTACCCCAGTGATTACAAAAGAATTTGTGACTTATCAAAGTGTAATATTACTTGGTAGTTTTACTTTCTTCCCAAATAATGTAAGGAATTTAGAATACTTTAACTCCATCTATCATCCTCCTCAACTTAGCTGTGATTTTTTAAAATGCGTTTTAGTTCCATATATATTTCAAACGTCTCAAAATATTCTTATTGTTTTGGCAATCGATAGTCAATTCGATTTTTCTCTATATATCTGCTTACTATGTTGCTCTTCATTTCTTCCTGCATCTCTGCACTTCCATCTGCTATCTTTTTCCACTTGCCTGAAGAACACCCTTTAGTGTTTTCTTTGAATCAGATCTGCTGGTGATGAATTCTCTTAATTTTTATTTGTCTGAAAATGGTTTTTTCCCCCAAGATTTTTAATTTTTCCTTTTTTCTCTCCAAAGCCCCCCGGTACATAGTTGTATATTTTTAGTTGTAGGTCCTTCTAGTTGTGGCATGCAGGAGGCTGCCTCAGCATGGCCTGATGAGCGGTGCCGCATCCGTGCCCAGGATCCAAACCGGCAAAATCCAAGACAGCTGAAGCAGAGTGCGTGAACTTAACCACTCGGCCACGGGGCCAGCCCCTGAAAATGTTTTTATTTCATTTTCAGTCTTGAAGAGTGTTTCTTCTGGGTGCAGTATTTCAGCTCTCTGATGACACTAACGCATTGTATTTTGGACTTCATTGTTCTGTTGAGATTTTATGTGTCATTCTAATGATTGCTCCTTTGAAGGAAAGCTATCTGTTCTCTCTTGTCTAGGTGTGATTTTCTTTTATAAATCCTCTTTGGGAGTTGATAGAAATTCTTGCATCTGTGACTTGATATCTTTAATCAATTTTGGAAAATTCTCAGTCGTTGTCTCTTCAAATATTGTTTCTGCATCATTTCTCTTTCCTTTATGTATAAGGACTCCGATTACACCTATATTAGGCCTTCTTAATGTATTGCTTGCTTTTACTTCTATATTTTATTTATTTTTGACTCTCCATGCAATTTGGATATTTCTTCAGTTTTATTTTTTAGTACATTAATTCTCTCCTCAGCTTTGTCTAATCTGCCATTAACTCCACACATTGAGTTCCTATTTCTCAGTTATGGTGTTATTTATGTCTAGAATTTCTACTTTTTTTTTTTTTAATGGTTTCTAGTTCTTTGATGAAGTTCTGAGGGAATACAAAGAGTTACCCAGCATGTCCACGGCAGGTAGACTCTTGCCCTAAGACTGGCTTTGGAACCATCTGAGGAGCTGCTGGAAACTGTTGCAACATTGGTGGTGCCCTGTGAACAGATCTCTGGTGATCAACAAAGAGCTTCTTGGCTCACGGATGGAAGTTCCAAGATGAGCGGACAGCATCTTGTTTGGAAGGCTGCCACTCTGACTGAAAAAGGCAAAAACAAATCAAGTATATTGGGAAATGGAGTTAAAAGCCTCCTATCCTTATCCCGCCCTGTGTCCTCCAAACGTTAGGCATATTCATGTTGGACTCTTGCTGTCTATGTTATATAAATGCTACACCAAATGGAGGTGCTCAGACAGGTTTGATCATTCTGTTATAAGGGAACCATGACCAAAGACCAGGGGGTGGCCTTTGTTTATAAGAAAGAACTTGTCTGGTCTTTGTCCTGAGTTCCTGGAACAGAGCTTCTAGAGCTTGAAATTTCCTGGGTGATCAGAGTGTCTCGTAATTCATGAGCCCCTTGTATTACACCTGAGTTTATGCTCATGAGGTGACTCATGGTGAGCCCTTAGATAGCTTCAGGACAGGTCCTGGTTTGAGCCATGTGATATCAGCATGACCTCCCAACCTCCAGGGAGAAGATGGGGCCTGGAGATTGAGTTCCATCACATGGCCAGCGATTCAATCAAGCTTGCTTATGTAATGGAACCCTAAGAAAAACTGGGCTACTGAAGCTCTGTGAAACCTCCTGGCTGGTGAACACACTGACGTGCCAGGAGAGTAATATGCCCTGATTCCACGGGGAGAGGGCACAGAAGCTCTGTGTTTGGGAACTTCCCAAGCACAGCCCTCTATGTCTTTTCATTTGGCTGGTCCTTTATAATAAAACTACAATCATAAATATAGTGCTTTCCTGAGCTCTGTGAGTCATTATAATGACATATTGAACCTAGGGTGTCATGGGAACCCTTGAATCTGTACCAGTTGGTCAAAAGTGCAGGTGGCCTGGGGACCCCCAAGGTGAGGACAGTCTTGCTGGGGACTGACCATGCCCTTAAACCTGTGGAGTTTGACGCTAACTCCAGGAGGTTAGTATCAGGATTGGATTTTAGTAAGCTAGTTGGTATCAGGACAGATTCCACTTTTTACCCCTAACCGCAAAAGGCTGTCAGATACTCTGCTCAGCTTCTCAAGCACTCAACTGCTTCTTCTGGACTCAACTGATGCCCACTGGGGAAAGGCAACACTAAATGCCGAGCTTGCCTCTCTAGCTTTCCTTCTGAATTTTGGCCCTATAATTTCTCGTTGCCCTGTTAGCTCTTCAGTCCTTCAGTCAGATGTTTTCATATTCTGTCTGGATTTTCTATTTGTCGTCAGTGGAAAGTTTGCTCTGCATTATCCAGTCTACCATTAATGGAAACATAAATCCCTCTTCTCATAGATTTTTTTTTTTCATTGTGGTTAAATACACATTGACATAAAATATATCATTTGAACCGTTTTAAAGTGTACAATTCAGTGACATTTAGTATATTTTCAATGTTCTACAACCGTCACTACTATCTAGTTCCAGAATATTTTCGTCACCTCAAAAGGAAACCCCACATCCATTAAAAAGTCATTCCCCATTCCATCTCCCCCAGCCCCTGGCAGCCACTAATCTGCTTTCTGTCTCCATGGATTTGCCTATTTTGGGTATTTCAGAGAAATGAAATCATGCAGTATGTGGCCTTTTGTGTCTGGCTTCTTTCACTTAGTATGTTTTCAAGGTCATAGATTTTTTTTATGTGGTGTTTTCTTTGTTTTTTAAATATTCTTCAGTTACGTTTTGTTTTCCTTTTTGACTCAGGAGGCATTTAGGAGACTGTTTTCTAATTTTTGTTCTATTTGTATTATTCATTGTTAGTTTTGGTGCACCATAGTCCGAGAATATAACTGATTCTATTTCCATTTTTTTTGTTAATAATTTTCTTTTTGGCCTATTGTACTATCAAATCTTGTAAATATCTCATGGGGGCTTGAAAATAAGATATAGTCTCTATATTCAGAATAGACACATATATTTATTCTATGTATTTACCTGTCTAGCCAGCTGGTTAGCTAACTATCATCAATCTTATTAAATATATTATTCAAAATCTCAGAATCATAACTTATTTTTTGTATATCTGATTTGTCAAGGTCTGAGAGAGATGAGTTAAAGTGACTTATTACAGTTTTATTTCTGTATTTATTCCAGCATTGTATTCTGTAAATTAATCCTTAAATTTTTATATTTTCACTTTCTTTATTTCAATGCTGTTATTTATTGTAATGTTTATTAGCCTGAATTCAGCCTGTTATTATTACAGAACACTTGCCCACTTTTTGTTTGTATTTACATGCGATAAATATGTTGGTTCCCAGATTAATTTCAGCCTTTCTGGGTTCTTTGGTTTCAGGTATATTTCTTGTTGGTAACATATGACTGGCTTTCATTTTCCTTTGAAGAGTGTGTTTGCGTTCGTTGTGTTGAACAGGTTGAGTCCGCTTCTGTTCTACTTTGTATTCTCTGCTTTATGCTGCTGTAGGGTCTGGTTTTTTTGTTGCTTTCTGGTAATCTGGAAGGAATTCAGACCATTTTTAGTTCTACTGGTGGTTACCTTTGTAATTTTAAATAATAGGTTTAACCAACATTTCTTAATTCATCACCTTCAGAAAAGAAAGAATATCACTCACTCCCTCCTAAGAAAAATAAAGATATTGATGATTTAAACAACCTTCCTTGCAGCTGCTATGGAAAACAGTATAGCAATTCTTCAAAAAGTTAAACAAAGAATTACCATAGGACCCAGCAATCCCACCTCTGGGTGTATATTCAGAATAAGCGAAAGCAGGGTCTCAAACAGATATTTGTACATTGATGTCCATAGGAGCATTATTCACAATAGCCAAAAGGTGGAAGCAAGCCAAGTGTCCATCAACACATGAATGGATAAACAAAATGTGGGATTTGAATATTATTCAGCCTGAAAAATAAAGGAAATTCTGGGGCCAGCCTGGTGGTGTAGTGGTTAAGTTTTTGCTCTCCGCTTCAGGATCCCAGGGTTCACGGGTTCGGATCCCAGGTGCAGACCTAGCACCGCTCACCAAGCCATGCTGTGGCAGCATCTCACATAAAATAGAGGAGGATTGGCACAGATGTTAGCTCAGCAGCAATCTTCCTCAAGCAAAAAGAGGAGGATTGGCAACAGATGTTAATTCAGGGCCAATCTTCCTCACACACACAAAAAAAGGAAATTCTGACATGTGATGCACCATGAATAAACCTTGAAGACGTTATGCTAAATGAAAGAAGCCTGTCACAAAAGGACAGATGCTGGGGGCTGGCCCCGTGGCCGAGTGGTTAAGTTTGTGCGCTCCGCTGCAGGCGGCCCAGTGTTTCGTTAGTTCGAGTCCTGGGCGCGGACATGGCACTGCTCATCAAACCACGCTGAGGCGGCATCCCACGTGCCACAACTAGAAGGACCCACAACGAAGAACACACAACTATGTACCGGGGGGCTTTGGGGAGAAAAAGGAAAAAATAAAATCTTTAAAAAAAAAAAAAAAAAAAGGACAGATGCTGTATGAGTCCTCTTATATGAGATTCCTAAAGTAGTCAAATACATGGAGCCAGAAAGTAGAGTGGTGGTTGCCAGGGGCTGGGGGAAGAAGGAGGGGGAGCCAGTGTTTAATGGGTGCAGAGTTTCAGTTTGGAAGATACAAAAGTTCTGGAGATGGATGGTAGGGATGGTTGCCCAACAACATGGATGTACTTAATGCCATGGAATTGTACATATAAAAATGGTTAAAATGGTAAATTTTATCACAATAAAAACTGGCAAACATCAATCTCTTTTCCTTCTCTTCTCTCCCATCCCCTTTTTAATGGAAATTTTGGGATTTTTTTTTCCTCCTATAACCTATTATCAACAACAATTAACAAAAGAAGCATTTTGTAGGGTTTTTTCACAATAACTATAACAATTGTATTATTTTCCTGGTAAACATAATCGTTACAGTTATATGTGTAATTACATGTTTAAATAGATTTAACGTTTACCATCAACCTGTTTATACCTCAGTTTCCTCCTATGTAAGTTCTTAATATGGATTCCTCCTTTGGTTGTTTCTATCAGGTCTTCAGGTAGAATGAAAGAGTTCCTGCTGGTGGAATGGATGAGGAGAATGTTACTTCTTGGGTAATGTCTGTGGAGGAGGACCCTTCTGGCCTGGGGATGGGAGCAGCTTCCTGCTCTTGCTAGCCCTGAGGCACAGCACATTCCCTTTGGTTTCCCTCAACTCTTGCCTACCCCTCGTCAATCGTCCTTTCACTAAACTCTCCCAAGTGATGCGGCCTGAGTGGGGCTTCTGTTTCCAGCTGGGACCATGACTGAGGCAGCCAGTGCCTCCTCTTCCCTCCACATACTCCTTGCCTCCAGTCCCCTTTCTGCCTCTCTTTCTCTTTCACCATTCCTCACCCTTACCCCTCCCTATTCTCTTTCTGCCTCTCGTTTTGGAGCTAGGTGACAGGTGACAAATAAAAATGGCAAGTAATAGGATATATTGAAATATATGAGGAAGCCATTTGGTGTAAACCTAATTCAGCCTGACCTTGTCTTTCCAAAAGGGCCTGACCGAGGCCACTGAGCATGCATTGTATATCTGCTTTAGAGATTCCCTATGGCAAGAGCAAAAGGCCCTTGAGATAAAGGTGCAACTTCCCTCCCCCTCCCAACGTTGGCATCTCCTTAAAGATTAAGCATCTTTCCTTAGGCTAGAAGCTGATTGCTGCACGCACCTGTGACCGCCCAGCTGGAGACAATAGACTTGCCTCCTGCTACGCCCACCAAGATAGCAGACCCACTACCTGCTGTGTCCATCAAGCGCTGTGCCGACAGGGCAATCTTGTGACTATTGTGGGAGGGACATTTCAATCATATGTGAAACACTCTCTTTGAAGGTATATAACCACCCTTATACCCCCACTTCTTTGGAGTGCTCTGTTCCTTTGTGGAAAGACTCTCCTGGGTTATAATCCTAAAATTTAAGCTCAGAATAAACTCACCCAAATTTTCATTTATAGATTGGCTATAGATTATTTTTGTTGACAGTTCTTGGCGTAGTCGGCAGGATTTCAGAGAAATCCTCTGGAGGCCACCTGGAATCTACACTGAACCGGCATTCGGTACCAATAGGGGCCCATTGAGCCCCCCGGATCACTGCATTCTTCAGGTGACCTTGGTGAGTTCTTCTGAAACCCGGACCTCCTTACTTTAAGTTGACGGTCCAAGAGTTTATATGAGCTGGGTAAGGTCTTAAGACTAGAGGTTTTGAGGGGTACCGGTACAGTTCCTAGGTGGAGAAAAACCTAGAGAGAATTCCTAAGCCGCAGGGGCTTAGAGGAGCTTGGAGTGAGCTGGGTTGGTTGTCCTTTTAATTTGGCTTTAAATTGGAAAGAATTGTGTTTATAAAGTCTGAACAAACTGCCTGGTAGAGAAATGAGAGACTGACCATGTTCAGCTCCGAAGAAAAGGGACGCTTGCTCCTCCCAGCCTTTACCAAAAGGCGCCCTTAAGTGACTAAGGACTTCACTGGGAGTGTCAGAGGATCAATCCTCGAGACGTGCAGCAGTCCCATAGGGAACTCCACTCTTATTCATGCTAATTAATTACAGGCTCGTCCGGGGACGTGCACATAAGGGCTGGTCACCCGCGCTCCGAGCCCCACGGTGGTTTTAGACTACCGGAGGAAAAACCAAGGCACATAAGAGAGTGTTTACGACCTTTCTATAGGGAGTAACACTCACAAGCAGCACACTTCTGACCCACTACACTGTCCTTAGAAGTTGTTCAGACTTTATTTAAAATAAAAATAAAAAACAGACAAGCAAAAAGAAAATGGGAAAACCGTGCTTTTAAAGCCGGCCAGCTCCCGGATGGACAACCTCCCAATGGAACTCCAGCTGGTTTCCTGTATGGAAACAATGCTTGCAAGTATCTAACAAAATGGGAAGGATTAACTAAGAATGACTTAAGTGGCCAAAGTGGGGAATGTTCGATATCTCAAAGTTACTGTATTTGCGCGCACAAGTAGAAAGAGCCGGCTCTAAAACTAAAGCAAAAGAATGGGAAGCTTATTATGATTGGCATTTAGAGGCTTCAAAACGTAATAATGATAAAGTGAATTCTTTACGGGAGACTAACCGTAAATTGGCAGAGACTGTATCTGAATTAAAAAAAAAAGGATAAGTCAGAAACCGTCCCAGCCAGCTTATCCCTTCCATCTCCTCTGCAGCTGCCTTTGGAATCTCAGAGCTCATCTCCTTCTTCTTTTCTAAAGAGCTCTATTCCATTGACTTAAAGTAAGCGCTTAGAAAAGGTTTTTCTAAATAGAACTAACCCAAATGTCTTCATCTCTCTTAGAGTTACAATGGCCATTTTCGTCTCCTTTTGAGCTTTGCAACCGGGAAACAAAGAAATCTTTAAAGAGTCAAAGGCTCCACCCCTGGAAGCCCCAACTTTGGGTTTCTGGGCCTGATTACCCCAGCAACCCTAAGTGGGGTGCCCTCTCTTGACAGTTGACTCATTGAGTATTTTAGTCACCTACTGAATCAGTTATAAGGGTAGGAGACCTGTGATTTATTCTGTGAACTGTCCTGCTGGGGTTGTGTGCCCAGCATAGGAACTGTTGTGTGACTCTTATCTTGATAACCCTCTGGAAGAGGCCATGAGGGCAGGGTCTGATCTCTTCTTTTCTTTTCTTTGTCTGTTTTGCTCATCATCTCTTCTGTTGTCACCAAGTCAAGGTTAAGTTCAGGCTGGACCTGACCAGAACCTGGACCTTCTGTAAAATTGAAAACTTGAGGGGTTTCTCTGTGCCTTTGTGATGAAGTTGGAGAGGTAGATCAACCTGGAATGTAATTTGAGTTACAACCCAGTTTCTGGGAAATCAAGAGCAACTGTCCTTAGAAAATCCTTGCAAGACTGGAAATACTGCTCTAGAGGCAGTTCAGATTCCACCCAGTTCCTTTATCTCGAAAAGGATTACCATCTCCCTTCTCCAGGAACTACTACCTAGCCCATCACTAATTCCTAAGACTGAAGAAAAAAAAAAAGAGGGGGAGGAGGAAAAAACAGCTTCCAAATTCTTTTTGGTAGCAATCTTGAGTTCTGCTAAGTTAAGTGATAAAAATCTGAGTATCTGGGTAATTTTTGGATTAGATAGAACAAATGTTGCTAAACATCTCAGTTTATCTGCTTTTGGTTTTTATTGCAGAGATGCTAAAAATCTTTGGGTCTTTTACTGTAAAGTGATGTGTTCCTAGAAATTATGAAGTGTTTAGAATGCTGATATAAAAGACAATTTGTAATTGCTTACCTTTTAGTGTTTACTAGGGTCTGTTAATGGTTAAAAGTTCTAATTAACATATATAATTAAAGCTACTGGAAATTAATAAGGAAAACAGCTCTGTATTCAAGGAAAGTTAAAATGTATGTTTTCAGTAAAAAGGGTATAAAGAATGGAAATATTTTGTTTGATGGGTTAAGAAAGATAAATTTGTCCTAATGTACTAGAAAGGAAAAATGGAAAGACTTTTGGACAAATTCTGAAGGCAAAAAGAAAGTTGTAGAAGGTTTGTGGAGGAGAAATTCTGAAAGGAGTTTTATGCCTGGTCAAGTAGACTAAGGTTAAAGTAAATCCAATTAAGCAAATGAGTTTTAATGTTAAAAAACAAAACTGCTAACAGAGATTAAGATCAAGAACCTGTTATACAGGACTGAATGAACTGAGGATGATTATAATCTTTTTACGACTTTTGTTTGAAATATTGTTTTTGATGTGTTGTTTTGTTTTCTCAGATTTAAGGAAATCTTTTCTCTTATGCTAACCATGTCTTATAGCAATTAGTGAAATAATACCTTTATGAGCAAAACTGAAACATTTATCTTTTTCTCCCTACCTGATCCCTCCAGAATGTGGAAACTCTTTGTGAGTTAGTATGGTTATTTCGTGGCAATACAGTTATTTGCATAAGTTCAATAAGAATCTGTTCTCCTTATAACAGGACACATTTGTTATCTTACCAAAACTTTGACTGGAATGTCATGTTTGAGAGAAAGATACAGACTCAGATATGACAATACTGCCTTTGAGGAATAAGGTTGACTTTCTGGAAATAAAGCCACTTGGAAATATGGGCCTGGTACCTTGCTTTACAGAGAGAGATTCCAGAAATCTTACCTGGTAAGTAAGGAAGCTTGCTTATCTGGCAGCTGCAATGAACCTCGAAATATTCTGGGGAATCTCAAGAAAGGAGAGAAAGTCACCCAAATCCAAGGTATTGCAGGCAAGGCCTCATGGCACAAATCCTTGGCTTGGCTTTTCTGGCCTCAAGAAGTCTTTAAAGTTCAATCTGAGATTCCTCATAAAAAATTCCAGCAAAAGCAGGTTTAAGAGCCTATGATCAATTGCTATTCTTGCTGCACTTATGTAAATAATTGGGCCAAGTTTCTTGAAACTAAACTTATTTTGGCAAACCAATTAGTCTTAACTTGACTATCTTTGGTAAAAATGAGGGTGATTTTAGAGAGAAGAATTGTTTCAGTGAAAAATTATAATACGCATTTGTGGATATTAGATCCTAGTTCTGTTAATTCTCTTTGAGGCTTTTTCTACCTGTGAGCTGGACTGGATCCTGAATTCTTCTACTGAAATATCTGGTTACAAACCTCCAAACTAATGTTTTCAATTTTTCCCTCATTTTCATTTGGAATCATTGAGAATTGAACATGCTCTTTTTCCTGAAGCCTTGCAAACTGAAGTTGAACGACGTGATAGAAACTTGAGAGATTCCCGTCTGTTGCTGTGTAAGCTGTAAGCCACTCACAAAGATACCTGAATGCCCGATGACATCATCAGAGACCTTTCAAGCTGCAAAAAGATGCTTTGACTCTGACATCTAGAAGTCTTCTTGACTGCCTGCCCCCTGGACGCAGGAACTAATTTATAATTTGCTCCAACCATTAACCTTGTTACCTTGCTTCCAACATCACAAGGGAGAGAAGACCACGACTGCATTCTATTATTTAATTTGGTTTACAAATGAGTCTTACTTAAATGATAAGTGAGGATGTTACCTGTCTAGCCTCAAGAATGCCTGCTACTTTCTGTTAACTCTGCTAACCCAGTAAAAGATTTCCTTCTACAGGCTCAAGAAATTGCCACGGAACAAGAGAAACAGATATGGCAGTCAAAAGGGGGAATTTTTGACACCCCCTCGCAGATGTGGTTCAGGCCCAATAAGAAACCCACTCCATGGGTCACAAGGCCACTTTCCCTTCCTTTGAGGTATGACAATTGGACTTTGTCCAAATGCCACCATCTCAAGGATAAACATATCTTGTAATGATCTGTATGTTCTCACATTGTTTTTAGGCCTTTCCTTGCAGAAGAGCAACGGCTTTAACAGTAGGTAAATTACTATTAGAGAGAATAATTCCTGTTTGAGGAATTCCTCGCGAGTTACGCAGTGACTGGGGAACTCAAATCTGTTTGTAATGTTTGGCCAATATTGCAGCATTTCCACTGCGCTTACCATCCTCGATCCTCAGGACTGGTAAAACTAATGGCACAACTAGAACTTAATTGGCAAGCTTTCAGAAGCATTTACTCTCTCACTGCCAAAAGCTCTTGTGCTAGTGCTCCTTAATCTTAGATCTATACTTTTTGTAAACATCGGCTGTCTCATCTTGAAATAATAATAAAACAGCCTATGGAATTAGATGAAGAAATATATGAACGAGCTTTCCTTAAGGGATATATTACATTGTTGTCACGGTCTTATTGAGGTACTTAAAGTAAAATGAAAGATTGGTAGCTGATTCTTTCACAGAGCTCCCAGAACTTAAGGATCTTGGACTGTAACCTGAAGAATTTATTTATTGAAAGAGACATCAAATAAGACTGTTTGCAGCCCTGTCGAAAAGGACCAAACCAGGAGGAGAAGAAGACGACATCTGTTGTAGACAGCTGTCCCAAGACTCTGGACCAGGCCTGTATTCCCAACCTTGTATCTCCTCATTTAAATATTTGTTATGCTTAAACTGTATACCTGTTTTATAATTTGTTTGGAATATTATTATACTTAAAGAAAGTGATTAATTTGGAACAGACTGGTCTTGAAGGCCAGGAATTTATCGAGTGACTCCTAATGGAACTTAATGGTTATGTGGAACAAATCTTTGGCCTTGGCTACTGCCTGGATGGCTAAAACATTGCACCCTGAGTTTCCTTTAAAAGCAGGCAAGGAGTCAGGCTGAGTTAAAACCTGTTGCCAATCTCCCTCTCTTTAAGGACGGATGGGCTTGTTCAGTGTTCCACTGGTATGGCTATATTTGCAGCTATATTTGCTCCTTCTTTGGAGCTAAAAGATGTCATTATTACATATGGCAGATCTGACTAAATTTACTCAAGAAGCCCTTAGTGATAGTCAAGCAGGAATAGTCTTATTAAATAGTGAAATGCCTTTAATGAGAAGGGCTGTCCTTCAAAACAGAATGGCTTTAGATATTCTTACTGCATCCCAGGGTGGTACATACACAGTCATTCAGACTGGATGCTGTGCTTTTATACCTGATGAGTCTTCCAATGTGTCATCTCTGCTAAAGCACGTGAGGAAGCAAGTGGATGCCTTAAGTGATCCTACACCCACTTTGATTTGCTTGATTGGTTCCCTTTTCAGTATCAGTTCCCTTTTTCGATCCAGAATGGAATTCCTATTTCTATTATTTATTGGAATCCTTGTACTGGTCATAATATTCAAACTAATTGTTGTTTTCTTTACTCAGTGTTGTAAGAGCATCATACAAACTAGAGTAATGATTGCTCGACGGCTTGAGATGGTTGATCTGTCTTATAACCCTGGACAAATTTCCTTTTCTGATAGGGACTACGAATAAGAATTCATTTCAGACTAATCCTTTTAAAAATGCTGAGTTATTATTGCTACTATACTTGTTCTATAATCATATACAATGTAAATGTGAAGCGTCACACAAAAGCACATATACAATGCTTGCGCAACAATCTAAAATTAATTGGAAATTACTTGACATATGAAATGCTTCCTCTGTTAATATATATGACTCTATGCTTGTCCACTATTTCCCCCAATGTGGACGACTAGGCAAATAAATGAAATAAAAGCCTAGCACCGAGGGACATGATGGACCCAGGGCAGGCAGCAACCACCCTGGCGCCGAGGGACAATATTTTGATCATCAATGCTTTCTATTGAAAGATTAGAGATCAAAAGGGGGAAATGACAAATAAAAATGGCAAGTAATAGGATATATTGAAATATATGAGGAAGCCATTTGGTATAAACCTAATTCGGCCTGACCTGGTCTTTCCAAAAGGGCCTGACCGAGGCCACTGAGCATGCATTGTATATCTGCTTTAGAGATTCCCTATGGCAAGAGCAAAAGGCCCTTGAGATAAAGGTGCAACTTCCCTCCCCCTCCCAACATTGGCATCTCCTTAAGGATTAAGTATCTTTCCTTAGGCTAGAAGCTGATTGCTGCACGCACCTGTGACCGCCCAGCTGGAGACAATAGACTTGCCTCCTGCTACGCCCACCAAGATAGCAGACCCACTACCTGCTGTGTCCATCAAGCGCTGTGGCTGTGCCGACAGGGCAATCTTGTGACTATTGTGGGAGGGACATTTCAATCATATGTGAAACACCCTCTTTGAGGGTATATAACCACCCTTATATCCCCACTTCTTTGGAGTGCTCTGTTCCTTTGTGGAAAGACTCTCCTGGGTTATAATCCTAAAATTTAAGCTCAGAATAAACCACCCAAATTTTCATTTATAGATTGGTTATGGATTATTTTCGTCGACACAGGCGAGTGTGTAAGTTAGCATATCACGCTCCTCATCTGGTCTGTGGTTGCCCTCGTCCCTGGGTGGTCAAGAACAGAGTATTCCTTCTTTGTGCACTGCTCAGGATTCTGGCTGATTTTCAGAATGTGCAGCCCGTCTCCCAGCCTTGCAGAAGCCCCACCCTCACCAGCAGCCTGGGAGAGCTCACAGTTCTGCCCTGTGCTTTCTTCCTTATAGACAACTCCTTTTATTTCCTGGTCTGCCATCTCAGGAGGGTGGGTGAGACCAAATCTGTTATATCAGTGTCTAGTGGAGCCTAAGCCGATTCAGGCCAAGACATTGTAAGTTGCGTTTTTATTGCTTTCTCAATCCTTGTGTGCAGATTTTATTGTGCTAGGAGTTTAAAATGTAAGAAACAAGGAGAAAAAATTTTGTAAGTCACTCTGGCTAAAGACTCCAGCCTAACAAAATTCTTAACAGACCCTTGTAAGTCCTGTTACCCGGGAGTATTTGTCCAACAGACCTGGAACAGTTTAAAAAAGGAGGAGTGGGGGTTTGGTTAACATTAAAGAAACACAAAGATTTTTCATCTGGCTCTGGGGGAGACCAGAGCCACAGAGGGAACAAGAAAAGAAAGAGGGGATTGAGCATTTTTGCAAACAAATGATAAAACTGCCTTTTAAAGGAGGGGGAGGGGGCCCTTGTCCAAACAAGACTTTTGCCAGGGTAGGAAATCATTTCTGCAATTGTTTACAATGCTCAGGCAGCCCGTCCAAAGTCAACATGGCCTGGGAGCGTTGCCCTGGAGCGTCCCGCTCTCTGCCAGCCGCCTGCCAGCTCGGGCTCAGCTATTTCTGACACTTAGTTCCCTCCCTTGAAAAACAAACTGTGGCCCTCACTGTCATCCTCAATAAAACCCCCACTTTTGCAGCCTTAATCATGTTTTCCACAAGAGTTGTCCAACTGGGGGCCTGGATGCAAAGCGTTGGGCTTAGGAGAGCCAGTTTGGGGGGAGGGGGCCTTGCATTTGCAAGGTGCCAAGATGGAAATTTCCATTGCTCTCCAAGATGGCTTCACTTGTGGCCAGGGAAACCTATTCTGTCTTCAAGGAGGAGACCCGAGCTAATGAAGGGGCGTAACGAAATTTACGCCCCTTCCTACAGTCTGTTCCACAAATCTGTAGCAAAGTTTGCTTTTACTAAAAAGCAACATAATTACTAGTAATAACCCTTTACATCTAGATATCATTTTAGTGTAGAAAAGACTTTCACTTCTGTTATCTTACTGGATCTCCACCCTGAGAAAGAGATTATTCACCTCATTTATTTAATTAATCCATCTATTTCTTTCCTTGTTTTGTGTTAATATTACAGTCACATGGTTTGAAAATTTGAAAGTAAAAATAAGGTCTCTCTTCCACTCTGTCCCCCATCCTCCCAGTCTCTACCTGCCCGCAGGTAACCACTGTTGTTCATTTGTTGTGGATCTTTCCAGAGGCGCTTCATGCGTGTGTAAGCAACTTGGAGCGGTGCAAGGAGAGAGTAGGGCGCTGAGACAGAAGAGTCCCAGGCACTAGGCCTAGCTCACCTCTAATCTGCTGTGTGACATTGTGCATGCCACTTTCCCTCTCTGGACCTCACTTGTGTCATCTGTGAAAATGGGAATACTAACAACTAACGTTCATTAGGCTTCTATGTACCTGCCACCGAGTGAAGTGTTTTCACATGTATTAGTTGGATTAAGCTCCCCACAACCCTAAAAGGAGACATTATTAGCCCCATTTATCAGTGACAAAACTGAGGCACAGAGAAATTAAATAAGTTGCCTAGGTCATAGCTAATTAGAGGGAAAGCCTAGATTTCATGAAGCTAGGTTGTCTAACAGTAGTGCTCAAACTTCTTAAACCACTCTGCTATTCTGCTGCCACTCATTGATGAGATTGATGACATGGAATGATGGCTTGGGGCAGGAGGCTGGCCCAGAGTGGCTCCTCCCAAGTCTGATACACAGGGTCCTGGGTCCAGTCCCTGGGAAACTCTGGCCATGCAGCTCTGAGTCACTCAGCTCCATTTAGACGGGATGGTAGACAGCTGGCAAAGAGCAGGAGGCAGCAGGGCAAGGCAGGTGTGAACCCTGATGTCAGCCCAGTGCCTTTGTCCCTCCAGGGGCATCAGGACAACTCCTTACAAACAATGATTTTTTAATTTTTATCGAAAGTAGTAATGCACATAATTTTTTTGCGGGCAGGGCAGTGAGGAAAATTGGCCCCGAGCTAACACCTTTGCCAATCTTCCTCTTTTTGCTCAAGGAAGATTGGCCCTGAGCCAACATCTGTGTCAGTCTTCCTCTATTTTGTATGTGGGATGCTGCCACAGCATGGCTTGATGAGCAGTGTGTAGGTCCACGCCCAGGATCCAAACCTGCAAACCTCGGGCCAATGAAGCAGAGCGCCCGAACTTTACTACTACACCACTGGGCCACCAGTGATGCACCTAATTTTAAAAGTCAGCCAATATTTGGAATCTTATAACAAAAAGAAAGCATCCCAGAATAACCACTTTTAACCCTTTTGGCTACTTCTTTATGTATTTGTCTCATTTATTCTAAATCAGGGGGCAGCAAACTTTTTCTGTAAAGGGCCAGATAATAAATATTTTCAGCTCTGTGGGCCAGACAGTCTTTGTTGGAACTACACGCCTCTCCTTGTAGCTGGAAAGCAGCCACAGGCAAAATGTAATCGAGCGGCTGTGGGCATGCAGTGCAACTTTATTTACAATAACAGATTTATTTACAAAAATGGATTTGGCCTGTGCAATGTAGTTTGTTGACACCTGTTCTAATTGCTCAAACTTCTATTTCTTTTCTTAATTTGTAATTTTAGGCATTACCCATTCATTTTTAATTCTGGCAGATTATAGTTTAATTTCCTTAAATAGCTACCCTCTCTGCAGTTGTTTATCCTCCTAAATCATCCTACTAGAGTTATATTGCAATTATCAGTTAAATCAATATTCAGTGTTTGCATTATTATGACTGAGTAAATCCTGTTCTCTGATGAGTCAAGTAGTATTCCATGTGACGTTTCCTTTCCCATACAGCTTTTGTTTTTACCTGGAATTGATAATTACCTCATTCTTTTTTTCATTTGCATCATTTCTTTGACCTTCAACAGTGTCTCTCAGACAATTTTCTACATGGTTAAACAGGTAGTGTATCCATGCCTTTTTTTCAGTACTATTCTTTTACTAAAGCCTCTCCTAAATCCTTCAGCCTCCTACTCCAATGTGGACTGCGTACTCCCTGGGCTTGGGCTCAGCTCTTATCCTAGTACTTCCTTTCTCTGTTGTCTTGGAAATCCACTTGATCTCTTTTCAGTGTTGGATGTCTTTTTCCCAGATCCTATGTCTTCTTCTCTGACTTACTTCTTCATTTTGCTGGAGCACATCCTTTGGTAGTGTGGGGAGTGGATTTGGCCACCCCAAGATATGTCTTTTTGGCATGAGGATTATTTGAGGCTGATTGCTTTTGATAAACTGGGACAGGGAAGGAGGCTCTGAGGGGTGGAACTTGCTTGCCCTTTGTTAGGAGACATTTACATTGTAAAGGAAATCTCTATCTGTAAAGGTGCCTCCCTCTCTGTACCAGGAAGAAGAAAGGAGATGACCTTCTCTCTAGAAACTCTTAATCAATGCCAAAGGCAAGGACTTAAATCTGCATAATAATCTTATTCCTGTTTCTGGTAACCTCCTGTAACTGACTTCCCTCCCCCTCCCAACTTTGGCATTTCTTTAAGGATTAAGCATCTTTCCTTAGGCTAGGAACTGATTGCTGTGCTCACCTGTGACCACCCAGCTCAAGACAACATACTTGCCTCCAGCTACGCCCTCTGAGATAGCAGACCCACTACCTGCTGTGTCCATCAAGTGCTGTGCCGACAGGGCAATCTTGTGAGTATTGTGGGAGGGACATTTCAATCACATGTGAAACACCCTGTTTGGGGGTATATAACCACTATGTGCACCCCACTTCTTCAGTGCCCTTTCTTCCTTTGGGAAGAAAGGCCCCGGGCCATGGTCCTCATAAAGCTTTGTTTAATTTTCTCTTGCTATTCTGTCTCATGTGAATTTAATTCATTCTCCGGCCAGACGAACCCACATTAGGTAGAGGAAAAGTCTCCCTCTCCCTACAGTAGCTTCCTGAGAAAGGCTACATGGGAGGTAAAATTCTTAAATTTGGTATATCTGAAAATGTCTTTAATCTACCATCACTCTTGAATGACAATTTTGCAGGGTGTATAATTATAGACTGGAAATCATTCTTTTCTCAATATTTTGAAGCATACAGGTTGGTAGAAATCTGATGCTTTTTTGATTCTGAATTTTTTGTATGCAATCTGTTTTTTCTTCTCTAGAAGTTTTTATGATCTTCTTTTTACTCTTAATGTTCTGAAATTTCAGCGTGATGTGCACTCTTTCAGTTTGGACATTCACAGCCTTCAGTTCTCAGAAATTTCTTTGTGATATTTACTTCATAATTTCCTCCCCTCCATTTTCTTTGTTCTTTCTTTCTGAATATCCAATTCATTGACTTTTAGATCTCTTGGATTGATCCCTCAGTTAAAATTTTTTTTCTATTTTCTTCCTTTATCTTTTTAATTTACTTTTGGAGCAATTTCCTAGACTATATTTTCCAACCCTTCTACTTAAATTATTACCATACTTTTGATTTCTCAAAGCTGTCTTGTTCTCTGTTGCTTTCTGTAGCATTATGCTCTCTTTGTACATTCACAGTGTCTTCTCTTACTCTCCTGAGGATGTTAAGTATGGATGGGACTTTAATCATCAGTTTTATTCTGCTCTCTGCATTGTCCTTCTTTCCTCCAGAGTCCTATTTTCTGGTTGTTTTATTCTGTCTTTAATGTTGCAGACTTTCCTCGAATTTCTGGTAATCTTGGTCTATTCTTATTAAACAGTGAGACCCTGAAAAGCTTGCTGGAAGTCCTGTATCCACAGAGAAGACCGTCAGCTGGTGGGCCTCCCTGTAGGGACAGAGCAGGGAGAGAATTCTCGAAGTGTCATTATCAACCAAGCCTCTTGTTTCTAGCTTCCTAGTAGCCTTCTGCATTACCTGGTACCTCCAGTCACTGAGCCTTTCTGGATTTCTGCAGGGAAACCGGCCTGCTTCTCATGGTATCACCGATGCACAGTCTCTTAAGAGTCAGCTTTGTCTATTCTGGTAACACAGACTGGATTCCTCCATCAGCTTCTCATCCTCCAAACTTGTCAACAGCTCTTTTCCTCTATTGTTTCCATTCTTGTACCCTTGTCCTTGAGGGCTTAAA